GCCCTATGACGTCAGACATCGATTAATCAATCAGCGTCGACGTTTCTAGTGGTTTAACCACAGTTCCGTGCACCGCACGCCAAGAACTCGTCGTAACAGACCGCTTCATTGGCTAATCCCTCACATTAACCAGAAGGCGGGTTACATAACATCTCTTCCAGATCCTAGTGTTATGAAGACAAGTAAAGCGAAATTTTGAACTATAAATAACGAAACGAAATAGAATCTGTGTTTTAATCAGAGTGCTTTAAATCCACCGGCATATATATGTCACTAAAGCAGTGGACATATTAGCCGAATCGATCGGCCGAATCGTTCGGTCGAATCAATCGGTGCCGAATTTTATTCGGCCGAATGGGTGGACACACTCGCCGAATGCTTCGCCCGATTCAACCTGTCGATTGCATCACCTTTCACGTCACATGATTAAACATGGCGGCGTCTATGTCTTCAATCTATCACGTGACTTCTCGATTATGAGTGGTGATTGGCTAATGAATTCTATATTCGGCCGAATGCTTCGGCGAAGCGGACACACCAGACGAATATAATTCGGCCGAATAAATATCAAATCTGTTTGATTCGGGCGAATCATTCGGCCGAATAACAGTGGACACACTAGGCGAATTTCGACGCCGATTGATTCGGCCGAATCATTCGGCTAGTGTGTCCACCGCATAAGTACTATGGTGATCGATCATAAATGATACAACTTCGTGCCATCTCTTCAAATGTTTATCTTTCGGAATTTTGATACAAAACATACATCTACATACCAACTCGGCGCTAAGGAGCAAAAAATCTGTTCTACGTTATTTGATACAATATTGTTATCAAGTGTAATAATATACATGTTATGTTTAGTGCACAAGGATCGATATAGATCGCATATTGTAATTGACGATAGGGGGATGTCTAAGAGAGAGATAGAAAGAGAGAGAGAGAGAGGGGGTTTAACGTCCACTCGACACAAACTAGGTCATTTCGGGACTAACACATGGTTCAATTTTATCATTGATTCGCTTGCGGGTAGGGGTCTTTAGCAGTAGGAGGAAACCGGAGTGCCCGGAGAAAACCCACGAGGTTGGGCAGGCGACCCTACTCCTTTTCACGTATGTCTGAATAAGGGGTAAGATTTTGAGTTAATTAGGTGCCCTAGAAGCAGGCCCGGTGGAGTAGGCGGGGTGTTGGGATGCTTTATCCAAGTTCTTGCACGCAAGTACATTTGTAACTATTCAGTTAGATACAGTGACGTAACTGGACAAGGCCTGATTTTAACATAGAAGTCATCCGGCACACAGAGGTCCATCTACATCATACTTCGAGAATAGATCTCTGCCCTTAATGGCCGCCATATTTAAAAAATAAATTGTCTTACACACAAAGACCCCCATTTTTTTTTCAATTGTATTAAATGGAAGCAGAATAAATACTTAACATTCTCGAAGTATACTCAGTTTTTTCGACTAAAATCGTCGATTTAGGACTTAAAATGTCGATCAACTAGCATAGTGACTGTTTACAGGCGTAGCTAACTGTAGACAGGCAGCCTAAGTTCAGTATGCGTAGAAGTGAGACTTCTAGAAGTAGAATATAGGCTTTCAAAGAAAAATCCCTGTTATGCACTGATCCCTGGGTTAAGAAGTTACGGTCCGATATGCGCCAATATCGAAAGGAATTTAATCTGGGGGTAAAAACATACCTTGTAAGTTTCATAAAATTTTGATACAAATTGTGACCTTTTAGAGTGTCCACAACCTAGATATTATTATGCAGATATTTGTCGAGTTCAGCATCACAAGAAAGCACCATCAACTGCAGCGCTTTCATGGTAAAGGATTTAAAAATTAAAACTTCACTTGACTGTCTAGCTACGAGAACGTAGCTAAAAACGTTGAGATATACTGATGTGCTTGTTTTTAGTTACGATCGGGTGCCTTTAGTTCCAAGTGACAAACTCAATTTCTTATTAATGCATGTAAAATCTTAAAAATAAGATAATTTTATATTATTATGACTAATTAAACTTACAGAGGCCAATGTAAATTAATGAAGCGTTGTTTTTATCCAACATACACCGTCATACATCTCCCGTGTAAAAATGGCGTTCCTTTTAGTAACGGCTTAACACCTCGATTTTAAATACGATGATTTATACCCGTTTCAGGTAGGATTATATGCTTAATTGTAGTTATATGTGGCAGAAATATTATAAATAACGATAATCAATCGTCGTTTTGATGAAAAATATTGTCAATTTTGCTTACTGAGGCCCCTGTGATTTGCGTTGGGCTATGCTACGTGGAACTATATAGCACAATCTCTTATCTCGAAACACGGAGGGTTGAGAGATGGGGTTTGTTATCTATTGACTGCCGAGTAATGTTACTTGCCAGAAATCGCTTGGAAAGCGTCTGCGACGATCTAGACACCAGGGAGCTTCCGGCTGAAGTCCTAGAATGGTAGCCCCCCCCCCCCCCCCAATCAAGAATTGCTTCAGTCGGCCCCGTCTAGAATTTAACTAGTTCAATGACGTCATAGTCTAGTATCCAAATATGGTCGTAGTTCTTGGTTACCATTAATTAGTCATGAATGTCAGCGAGAGAGAGATAAATGGGGTTTAACGTCCACTCGACACAAACTAGGTCATTTCGGGACTAACATAGGGGGTCTTTAGCAGTGGGGGGAAACCGGAGGATCCGGAGAAAACCCACGAGGTTGGACAGGCGACCCTACTCCTTGTCACGTACAACCGGGGATTCGAAAACACGCCAGTCGACTCAATGACAGACTTTATGATACAGCGCGCGCACGCTAACCATTCAGCCATCCAACCCCCCTCCCATATTAGGACATTGGTGAGAGGGGCTGCTATTAAGGACAAGAAAAAAAATTACCTGTGCTACCTGGCCACAAAAAATAGGGTCGGGTGGAAACCCTTATTTTTTTTCCATGGGGTTTGTATTATCTATTTCCTACCCTTTCTAGTTTAAAATTCATAGGCGTAGGAGTCCCCCCCCCCCCCCCTACCAAGCCAAGATTCGGTGAACCCTCCGTCTATTCTTCGGGCCAATGTACCGGTGTTTCCATTTTTCGGGCACAACCATCAGATAATGGTGAACATTTAGTTGTTTTTTTTGCTTAACATATTGTAAATTTATATTGTTTATATTGTTGTGTAATTAATTAAAAATAAACAACCATCACAGCTTTGTGGAAAATTCGTTTTAGTTTTTAATGATTGATTCATTCTGAAAATTCGGGTAAAAAACATTTTTTCGGGCAAATAGCCTCAGCCCCACCCCCACGAAACTGAGATTGGCGCCCTATGCCTATGTAAAAAAAAATAGATAATAAAAGTGAATATGATGAAAATTCCAGTCAAATTACTTACTGACAAGGGGAAACCATGCCAGAAAATCCCGACGAACTTTCTTGGCCAGCACTGGGAGTGAACCTGCGACCTCCAGGTTAGCAAGACGTCTTACTCACACAGCCACGGTCTGGGAAATGACTTAAAAAAAGGGAGGTACCATAGGGTAACGGTAAACACTGTTTTGTTTTTTTTATTTTGGCTTTGAAATTATAGGAAATAGACCGAGTCTTATTCTAAATGAAAGAGAGAGAGAAATGGGGTTTAACATCCACACGACACAAACTAGGTCATTTCGGGACTGACACATGGTTCAATTTAATTTCAATAATTCGCTTGTGCATAGGGGTCTTTAGCAGAAAAAATTGTCTACATAAAAAAAATATATACATTGTCCGTCAATTTTACAGCACCCCTGAGAACAATTCCCACCCCTCTTATTGCTCTGAGCTAGTTACGACCCTGCATCCACCCACCCCTCAATCGGATGTAGCTTGTTCCCAAATTTTGTTTTAGGTTTCTCCATTCTACTCTAGGGGGGTTGGATGGCTGAATAGTTAGTGTGATCGCGCTGTATCATAAAGTCTGTCATTGAGTCGACTGGCGTGGTTTCGAATCCCCGGTTGTACTTGACAAGGAGTAGGGTCGCCTGTCCAACCTCGTGGGTTTTCTCCGGGTCCTCCGGTTTCCTCCCACTGCTAAAGACCCCTACGCGCAAGCGAATTATGTAAATAAAATTAAACTGTATGTTAGTCCCAAAATGACCTAGTTTGTGTCAAGTGGACGTTAAACTCCATTTCTCTCTCTCTCCATTCTATTCTCCTCCCACTGCTAAAGACCCCTACGCGCAAGTGAATTATGTAAATAAAATTAAACTGTATGTTAGTCCCAAAATGACCTAGTTTGTGTCGAGTGGACGTTAAACCCCATTTCTCTCTCTCTCTCCATTCTATTCTCCTCCCACCGCTAAAGACCCCTATGCGCAAGCGAATTATGTAAATAAAATTAAACCGTATGTTAGTCCCGAAATAACCTAGTTTGTGTCGAGTGGAGTTAAACCCCATCTCTCTCTCTCTCTCTCTCTCCATTCTATTCTGTTACCATTTCCCCAGCATCAAACTGAACAGATGGTGTATGTCATTTATTTATGACCGAAGGAGATGAATATGAGTTCAGTAATAACTCCAAATTTTCCATAATATTCGAAATAAAAAAACCCCACAAATTAGAATTCAATATTGATCCATTTTAATCTATATAGATGTTGTTCTGTTGCGCTAAAAATGTGGGATCCTAATATCCAATATATAAGGCACAATAAACGTTTTAAAATGTCGAGAAATGGGGTTTAACGTCCACCCGACACAAACTAGGTCATTTCGGGACTAACATGGTATAATTTTATTTAAATAATTCGCTTGCGCGTAGGGGTCTTTAGCAGTGGGAGGAATCCAGAGGACCCGGAGAAAACCCACGAGGTTGGACAGGCGACCCTACTCCTTGTCACGTACAACCAGGGATTGCGAAATTAATGAACAAAGAAACTCACATCCTAAATTACAATGCGACAGTAAATAGCAATGACTGATTCACAAATAATAAAATAATAATAATAAAAAAAAAAAAAAACGTTTAAAATGGACGAAGCCGGCGAAAACGACTGCCGTTTAGTTTGGACTGTTTACATATTTCACTGAAAATATTTGATTAGAAATTATAATAATTTTTTTTTTTTAAATTGATCAGAAATCACTTTATATACACTCATATTACATTTATATGTCATCGGTGAAGTGTCAAAAGGGTGTATATAAGAATTTCTAAAGATTAAGAAATAGAACCTTTTGCATTTCAAAATTTCCACAAATCAAGATACAACATTTGGACACATGATACCCAGAACAGCTCTAATTGGCGTTGAGATACACAGCTTAGACACTTCATCGATGATGTGCTTTTAGACCCAATTATGGTTTTAAAAAAATAGAAAAAATAGAGCCATATGTAATTTAACATAATATAAATATATACATTGAAGAACAAAAACTAAACCTTTGGTTGGGCTTAATAAAATAGTGAATAAATGACCAAACATATCACTTCTTGTGCATTCTTCCAAACAGAGTTGCCTTCCCTTGAAGTTCGAATGCTGGATAGTGAGACTTGTTTGGAGAATGCTTTTTGTGATGTTGTGCCACTTGCGGAGTTTTTAGAATAATGACGACCATGAACACAAAAAAAGGCTTTCTGCCATTGTTCAAATGAATGCAATTTTGATTTAGGAGATAAAGAAATTTGCAGGTCTGCTTCTTCGTCTGACCCTAAGAGGATGCACGGGCTGAGGCAACAAAAAATCCACAAATCTATCAGCCCAAAAATCTGGAAGTAGTTTATCTGATAGATGGCGGGAAATAGAAATATTCTGATGATGAGGCAAAGGTTCCGGTACCGTTACAGGGATTTGAACAAAGTCTGCAGTGTTCACTCAAAAATATATTCTGATCTGTTGAAACACAATCTGATTACAACACACATCCTATTTCGTTTCGTTTTTTAATAGTTCTAAATTTCTTTTTACTTGTCTTTACTACACTAGGATCTGAAAGAGTTGTTACATGTACAATGTATATAACCCGCGTTCTGGATGATGTGAGGGATTAGCCAATGAAACGAATTTTTGGCGTGATGTTGACGGAAATGTGGATAGCTCACTAGAAACATCAACGTTGGTTGGTTACTCAAATGTCCGATGTCATGGGGTCAAAAGCCGCTTGTATGACTTCTGATGCGACCTTCCACTACAACCAGTCAAATCTTCAATTAGTAGAGGCCATGGAAAGTATAAAAAACGAAACGAAATATAGATCTGTATTCTAATCAGATTGGTTGATGATTCCATTGTGGAGACAGAAGATGACGGTTCATGAATGAAGGTAGAATTGAAGTGTGGTTTAACGTCCCACAGTTCTGCTGCGACTCGGCAAATGAAGATGAGCCTACGCCATGCCTTGTGTTATGAGGGAAATTTTGTCCACATAGCGGCACTACTGCCTACTCTTTATTACTGTCTAGGGATCTTTTACGTGCATGCCATTTGCGTACCGGTACACAGGACATTGCTTTTGAATCCCATCCTGCACCACTGACAAGAGGAAGCTGCGTCAGAAAATCATGGTGAACATTCTTTACCAACACAGGATCGAACATTAGACCTCCAGTCAACATCCTTCTCACTAAGCCACTGTGTCTCCTGGCCAAACCCCTTTTTAATAATTTCCTAATCAATATATCTGTAATCAGTTCTTCTGCGGTCGTGGTATTTGATGCCTACGCATCACTGCCAGAAGCAACAGACTCAACGGGTGTTTCCCTTTTTTTTGTGCCATCTTGAGACTGCAAAAGAAATTGAAAATTGAAATGGGGTTTAATGTCATACTGTTCTGTTCTGACTGGGCTAATGAAGGCGGGTATACGCCATACAGTGTGCTATGAGGGAAATTTTGCCCGTAATGCGGCACTATGGCCTACACTTATATCGAATTTCAACTGCCAAGGGATCTTTTATGTTCATGCCAATGTGTACATGGGACCTCGGTTTTCCGTCCAATTCGAATGACTAGACAGATGTCCTTGTCAGGCCCTCCATCCACCCAATTAGCCACCGTGGCTCCCGACTGCAAAAGAAATTAAAATGAAATGAAATGGGTTTTAACATCCTACTGTTCTGCTCCGAACTGGGCTAATAAAGACAGGCATACACCATACAGTGTGCTATGAGGGAAATTTTGCCCGGACAGCGGCACTACGGCCTACTCTTATATATAGAATTCCCTCAAGGGATCTTTTACGTGCACACCAATGTGTACACGGGACTTCGCTTTTTCGGTCCATCCGAACGAACAGACAGCTGTCCTTGTCAGGCCCTCCGTCCTGCATCACTGACAAGGGAGAACCACGCCGGAAAATCTGGATGAAATTTCTCGGCCAATGCAGGGATCGAACACCCCACATCCAGGCTAGCAAGCCAGCATCTTACCCACTTAGCCAGCGTGGCACCCGACTGCAAAAGAAAAGGAAGAATTAAGATTAAGGGCAACTGTTGAATAAATTAGATCAGTCATGGGTTGCACCCAGTGGCACTGGCATCTAAAAACTTAAAAATCGCTTAGCGAAAACAATTTTTCCATTATGAGAGAGAGAGCGAGAAATGGGGTTTAACCTCAATTCGACACAAACTAGGTCATTTCGGAAATAACATATACGTTTGAATTTTATTTCAATAATTCTCTTGCACGCACAAAGGGGTCTTTAGACTCTTTAGCAGTGGGAGTAAACCGGAGGACTTGGAGAAAAGCCTTGGAGTATGCGTCTTGGAGATTGGGGTGCCTTCACAAAGGTGTCAGCTTACTCCTTGTCACGTACAACCAGGGATTGGAAACCACGCCAGTTGACTCAATGACAGCCCTTATGACGCAACATGTATGCACTAACTATTCATGCACCAAACCCTCACCACGCCCGAAAACCCTATGAATGGATCCAGGGATTAGTGGAGCAGAAAAGAACGTTACCACTAGCGATAGGGAATCCCGACAGTGCGGGAGTGGTCTTCTATCTTGGGATGAATTGTTTTCAATTGGGCCGAGTGGTCTAATGAGTTGTTGTCCGTCCAACAATGGGTAAGTGGCTACTAACCTGGCAATACCAACGTATATGTCGTAATAGTGCATCCCTGATGCTGCGCATAAATAAATTATTGCCAACTGTATCGGACAAGTGAATGCCATCGTCACTGTATATATGTTGATTTGGTTGCCACAGCCCAGCTCTATGCCGCCAAAAACTGACATCAAAATTCGCCGTATTGCAGAGTTCCATTAAATGTGAATTAGTGGAATAGATTTTATCATTAAATCCTTCGAATGGTTCAACATATCTGGGTAACAGCTGGCTGACAATCACACATTTCGGGCGATATCTAGTCATCAGCAAGGATGCCAACTTCATAACAGTGGTCGCTACTTCATCGGGCAAGGTGTCGGTGGATTCGGCAATATCATTCGAGCCTATATGTAAATATATGATGTCAACCTGTCGAAACATGCTGCCATGCTGCTCGCTTGGATCTCGCAACCCACCATGCCAACATTTAACTTGGCACAAATTCTCATCTAAATCTAAATTAGCATGTCCATGGGTATTTAGAAAGGAATTTAAACGCTGAACATAAGCGGTGCCATAGATCACTATTTTGAGTGGGCTGCCAGCTACCTGACGTATATCACGGGAGTTTTTGTTAACTGTAAACAATGCGTCAGTCTTAGGGGATGTTGATGATCCGACATCCGCCATGATCTATGCACAATACTCTGAAGGGTTATGATTATAATTGTATTTATAATTCAGTATAAACACGGAAAGATATTTCTTAGATCGGAAAGATTTAGTATCGTGCATGATCTATTCAAAACGGGAGTAGGTCGTTTTATTCCACTACCGGTTCATCTGGGGCTGTTTCGTCCGGGCTGTTTCATCCCAAATTTACACGAGTCGTTTCATCCCACTTATATCGGGTCGTTTCATCCCATGAATTTAAAAAACAGGTATTAGATGAATTTTTAAAATTTTATTTATACATTAATACCAATAACAATATGTCAATGCAATTTTATCATGAATAGTGTCCAACTTCTTCCTTTGCATACGCTTTAGCTTATTTTCTGAATCCACACCAAAAAAAATTCTAAAATCACACTTTCTAGGTCACTACAAAGAATTTTTCAACAAATAAAATCTAAGCGTGCAGAACTCACGATCAGTACAAAAAAGCAATAACACAAAAACGATACCATGTTATCGTTTGGTTCCATGACCACTCGGGCCAATTGATAGACCACTCGGCCAAACAAAAAGACTACTCGGACCAAACAAAAAGCCTACTCGGACCAAACTAAAAGACTACTCGGACCAGACTAAAAGACTACTCGGACCAAACAGAAAGACTACTCGGACCAAGTATTTTAACATGGACCGTGTATATACGGTCCATGGTTTTAATAGATGTTCAACTACAAAAAAAACCAAAAAAAAAAAACTTTTAGCTGAGAATTTTCCTTTTCACTTTTGATTTTCAAATTTTTACTCTGGATGGCATTTTCAAGTCGACACGTCGCCAATAGTTAGCATCTTGAATAGAATATTTCTGTCAGTGATGCAGGAAAGAGGGCCTGACAAGAACAGCTGTCTAGTCGTTCGGTTGGGACGAAAAATCGAGGTCCCGTGTACATGCATTGGCGTACACGTAAAAAGATCCGTTGACAGTTGGAATTCGATATAAGAGTAGGCCGTAGTGCCGCTTTCCGGGCAAAATTTTCTCCATAGCACACTGTATGGCGTATGCTCGTCTTCATTGGCCCAATATAGGAGCAGAGCAGTAGAACGTTAAACACGTTAAACCCCATAATCGAGTTGCGAAGTTCAAGGTTCGTTCAATGTCAAGGTTTCTGTGGAGCTCATCATTTTTGATTTGAGTGGGTTTGTGTCACAACCTCTGATAGGACGCTATCTAGCAACGTCTAGATGTTGTAAAACTCGCAGTCGTTACTTCAGGAACATGAATACAGTAGTCGGATTTTCACCTGTCTATCTAGGTAGACTTGTTGATGTCCATCTGCTGTTTGTGTGTATTTTTGTCCCCCGCCTTTCTAAGAAAGCAGAGAACTATTAAAATGGGTCTGTCTAAGCATTTTCGGCTCAGAGTATAAACAGAACGATAAGCAATTTGATTGGTCGAGACTTTGGATAAGTACCACCGCTACAAATATTGCAGGTTGTTCATTCGGTGAATGTCTTAACCGAGTTCAATGATTAACATTGTAGAGCTAAGCAATTTCATTGATCGATGCTTTGGGACAAGATAACTTTGATTCTGATGAATCTATAGTTTCACAACCAGGTACTTCAAAATCTGAACTGAGTTAGATCAGAGTCTCGTCGAGGTTTTCCGAATGCAGAAAAGTAGGACGTTAAAAACTGTTTCATTCAAAAGCCAAACTCACCGACTTTTAACCTTTTTTTTTACATTTCCCAGGGTCTGTTAGTCTGCATAACTCTGATTGGCGTGATTTTATCTAGATAAATTCTTTCTACACTGCCATGTCAATCACCTAACTCACTAGCTACGAGAAAGTAACTAACGTTGAGATATACTGACTTGCTAGTTTTTAGCTACGATTGGAGGCCTTTAGTTTTAGTTCCAAGTGGCAAACTCAATTTCTTTATTAATGCATGTACCATCTTAATAATAAGTTAATTTTATACTATTAGTACTTATTACACATACGCAGTCCAATCTACTGAAACAACATTCATTTATCAGCAAATATTGACAATAAAGTAAATCAAGCGTTGTTTTTATCAAAATTGATACGGACATTCATAATTACGGCGTATTACTCCTGCGCAACTCCGATCGGGTTAGTACTTTGATTGGCTATTGCACACGAGGACCATCTCTTATCTCGAAACACGGAGGGTTGAGAGATGAGGTTTGTTATCTATTCAAAATCTTGACTGAGTTAGATCAAGAACATTTTCAGCTTACAGTAGGTATAGATAATCAGTTTGATTGCTCGATACTTTTGAAAAAGATAAATGTGCAATTAATGTGTCACTATTTATTTTTTGATTTCGGGGGGGGGGGGGGGGGGGCATCAGCCTCACAATGGCATGTGTATTCAAATATGTCTGGACAGTTTTCATACTTTATCCCGTTATTGGGACCACTACAAACGCTAAATGGCGTTACTTTATCCTTTAATGGGGTTACATTATCCCCTGCTGGCGTTAATTTAACCCCTTTTGAGGGTCACTTTATCTCCATATAATGGGCTTACTTTTATCCTTATGGGGTAACTTATCCCCCTATTTTAAACGGAAACGTTGAAGCTTTGACAGGATAAAAAAACGGAACATTTTTTTACATTCTGGAGATCTGGAGTTATACAAATTAAATCTCAGGATTTGTGCTTTTAATATAAATGCCAAAATGTTGCGATACGATCTGTTTAGACTGTCTGAGAAATTTCAAAGGCAAATATTGAACTGTCCTGAAAATGATCACAAGATTTGCTCAACAGAGTAATTTAAATTACTTCATTCCTAAATGATATGAGCGACTTGACAATCGCGATGATCATTCAACACTAAAATTCAGACTGGGTAATGGACTCTAATAATGACGTTAGCCGTCAATGTGATATAAAACAAACTAAATTAATAATTGACTAAAACTAACTTTATTTCTAAATAATATCAAATTCCTCGTACAAAAACGACATCACAAAAAAACCCAATAACAATTAATCAAATAATTAAATAAAATTGAATAAAGTCACGATTTCAAATAATTAATTATAAAGACAACTTGTATAGTAATAATGGATATTAAACATACATTATGCAAGAGCTAAATCTGTCTATTGCAGGTCTTTCTTTAGGCCTGAAATGTTATCTTAATTATTAATTAGACATTAATTAACCTATCCAGACCATAATCAACTCTAGATGGCATCGCTATGAGCCGATTTACCGCATAACTTTCCTTCACGATTAAATGGATAATCGAGACTATGCTGTTTATCGTACCGACTTTAGTAATGATGATCGAGGCTTGGCAGAAATTTCAATCGCTAAGTTCTCGGTTCATAGTGGACCAATTTGAATGAAATTTTCAGCAAATTGCCTTTACATTATCTTGTTTTTAACTATTATAGTGAGAACTGCCAACTCGTTATCGAATCTCCCATAATGTATCTTTAAGATATATAAGTTTTCACGGACCGTGTAAAATTATTTTCATTTCTGTAACTACTATACATCAACTGATCGGGTAACATTTGTGACGTACTTACTTGACACGTGACGTTGCGATTGTGATAATTTGGAAGTTAATGAAATTTATTAAGATTCTCAAATACACAAATTGTTGGCATTTTAGCAGATTTAACGTTAGTTACTCAACAAATAACTTACAAACCACTGTTAGAGTACAATAAAATGAAATGGGGTCTAAACGTCTAGACTGGATAACCTGTTCTAAATGACGTCAGGCTGGTTCCTACGTCACTGCGCTATTCTAACTTCAAACACAGAGTCTGTGCTTCAAATGCAAGTCAGAAAAGGAGTGACGTAGGAGCGAGTCTGGCGTATTAGAGTAGGTTATCCAGTCTATTTAACGTCCTTCTGTTGAGCACCAATTGGGTTAGTGATGACGGGCGAACCACTATTTCTTGACGGTGACAAGGGTAAACCAACGAACTTTCTGGACCAAGTCGGACCAACACCAAGATCATACACGGTAGCTACTCTACACCGAATCACGACGCCTGTATAATCAAGTAAGGCAATTCTCATGAAACTTTCATGAACAAATCGGACAGAATTAGCCATGGCATTAAAGTGAGAAATGAAATGAAATGGGGTTTAACGTCGTACTGTTTTGCTCCGAACTGGGCTTATGAAGACGGGCATACGCCATACAGTGTGCTATGATGAGGGAAATTTTGCCCGGACAGCGGCACTACGGCCTACTCTTATATCGAATTCCAACTGTCAAGAGATCTTTTACGTGCACACCAAATGTGCACACGGGACCTCGGTTTTTCGTCTCATCCGAATGACTTGACAGCTGTCCTTGTTGGGCCCTCCGTCTTGCATCACTGACAAGGGGGAACCACGCCGGAAAATCTGGGTGAACTTCCTCGGCCAATGCAGGGATCGAACACCGACCTCCAGGCTAGCGAGCCAGCGCCTTACCCACTTAGCCACCGTGACCCCCCCCCCCCCGCCCCCCATTAGAGTGAGACAGTGTATAAAAACGGTGTTAAAATGTACGGAGATAATACTGACGTCATTTAACAGATATGATGTCACTGAGAGAGTTGTCAACCATGGCGATTATTTCTTCGACGTCATTTCAGTGAACGACTGGGAAACCTGAAATGATCAGAACCATAATGAATGTACGCCACCACTTGGTAGTACGGTAAACTGATGAATATGAAAGTTTGTTTTATTAAAGATTTGAAAAGCTGTAGAATGTATAAAACTCTTGCTATACAATACAATTATTTATTTATTTCATTTATATCACATTTATGTTACTTCATTTCAAACTATCGATGGATTCTCATGTGTGTCTGTAGATTACAACTCACATTAAATGATTTACCACAAACATCACACTTATAAGATTTTTCACCAGTATGAATTCTCATGTGTTTCTGTAGATCACCATTCTGATTAAATGATTTACCACAAACATCACACTTATAAGATTTTTCACCAGTATGAATTCTCATGTGTGTCTGTAGATTACAATTCTGATTAAATGATTTACCACAAACATCACACTTATAAGATTTTTCACCAGTATGAATTCTCATGTGTGTCTGTAGATGTTGACTCTGATTAAATAATTTACCACAAACATCACACTTATAAGATTTTTCACCAGTATGAATTCTCATGTGTTTCTGTAGATCACCATTCTGATTAAATGATTTACCACAAACATCACACTTATAAGATTTTTCACCAGTATGAATTCTCATGTGTCTCTGTAGATTACAATTCTGATTAAACGATTTACCACAAACATCACACTTATATGATTTTTCACCAGTATGAATTCTCATGTGTGTCTGTAGATCACCATTCCGATTAAATGATTTACCACAAACATCACACTTATAAGATTTTTCACCAGTATGAATTCTCATGTGTGTCTGTAGATTACAACTCAGATTAAATGATTTACCACAAACATCACACTTATAAGATTTTTCACCTGTATGAATTCTCATGTGTGTTTGTAGACTACAATTATGATTAAATGATTTATCACAAACATCACACTTATAAGATTTTTCACCAGTATGAATTCTCATGTGTGTCTGTAGATTATCATTCCGATTACATGAATAACTACAAACATCACACTTATAAGATTTTTCACCAGTACTAATTCGATGTTTATCACGTCTTTTAGGTAGATTGTTTTGGTTCTGTGTGACTCTAGTCTTTTCCAATGGCTGTGTTATTTCTTTTGGAGTCAGACCGACATTAATTAATTCATTTATTTTTAGTTCAGATAATTGATTTAGACCCTTCCAATCTATCTCCATAGACATTAGCTTGTCTATGTTCAATAGCTCAAAGTGTCGAAGGTATAAATGTTTCAGCAGATTTAGTGACGAGGCATATGATGTTGAACAGAAACGACATGGATATGTATCTGAAATAATAAACGTTTTTAATGAACATGAAATTATTTTAGTTATCGACAGTTAACAGTCGAGATAACACTGTAAATAAAAGTGAGTTTATATCAAGCATTTCCAGTCGTTGTTGTTTGTATTTTAGAGGAGAGCCGAGAAAAGCTCCACTTATTCAACAAATTGAAAAAATCGCTCCCCTAAAGAAGCTCTCCCAGTTTCGATAAGGAGAGTGATTAGTTGTGTGTATGGGAAATGATTCTAAGATCAATAGAAATTAAGGAGGGTGATCTGCTATTAAGGAGAGTGATTAGTTGTGTGTGTGGGAAATGGTTCTGAAGATCAATAACTGCATGTTAGGGGATCATACCTGGATTCATAAATGATAATAAACCCCCATGACTTTGTAAAGGAGAGCGATTTTCAATTTTATAGAGAGGGAGAAAAAGCTCCCCTCAGTCGACATTCAGGTGAGCGGCAGGCGCTTAAGAGCGATTGCTCGCCTTAAAAAACAATGACTGCATTTCAATATCTGGCAATATTTGCCTTGTATGAAAATCATAAAGTTGGAGAGTGATATTGATACAGCTTTGCCCCTACATTATTACCATTTTAGTGTTTGTCCTAAATTCCATCCGGATTATCACACTTATTATTATTGTTAATGTTTTTGGCTTTCTAACTCATTTCGGGACTAACATATTTCAAAAATTCGCTTGCACGTAGTATAGGGGTCTTTAGCAGTGGGAGGAAACCGGAGGACCCGGAGAAAACCCACGAGGTTGAACAGGCAACGCTACTCCTTGTCATGCACAATCGGAAAATCTAAACCACGCCAGTTGACTCAATGTCAAACCTTATGATACAGGGCGCACAAGCTAACCATTCGAAACCACGCCAGTTGACTCAATGACAGACCTTATGATACTACGCGCACGCGCTAACCATTCAGTCATCCAACGGAGCCTGTGACTATGGTAGGCTCCGGGTGGGGATCGGGGCTACGAAATTAATGTTCTTTAATACTGTAGTTTGGGGGCCGTTTTTATTCACGGTAGTATATACCTCCGACAGCTTTTTTTAATGGTTTTCTCAGAGGGAGGGGGCGCCAAGCAATTACAGTTCTCGCATAGTTTGTGGGCCGTTTTTATTCACGGTAGTATACCTCCGACACCTTTTTTTCAAAATGCGGCTCATATAACATTTCATAAATATACATAATTATCATCAAATAGACATTCAACAATACCCGGAATTATTGGTTTTGATCCATCTAATCGCCATGGCATCTGCTTTAATAAATTAGCAGTTGTATTATTTCTACTGGTCTGATTGTGAAATGCAACAAAAGATGACTTGGACCATAATGGTTTGTTTATTCCCAGATCTGCCGCATATTCACTTCCATACCTACAAAAAATTTTTTAAACAAATGAATCATTAGTATTATATTTTCTAATTTTTTTTCTGGGGTCAGAGGGCCTTCTTCGCGAATTTTTTAAAGGATGCTGCCACTTCATTGGCCGAGTGCTAAATTTGGTAACAGGATTTTAAAATTCAGCAAATGAAAACCGTACCATCTTTAAATATTTCAATCAAAGTTTCTGTGAATAACGTCCTAGATTAGTCTGTTTATACAGTTGTTTATCTTCTGTACAATGGAATGGGATTTATTAATGCCTCATCAACACAAATCTCAGGTCAATTAGAGGCGAACGATTCTGCATATTCGTTTTCGGATTCCCATGCCAAGTGTGCCTAGCCACACTGACGGCTGGCGCATTATGTAAGATTAGATAAAGGGCTGACAGAAATAAAACCAGCGGCTGCCAGGCAGGATACGCCCACATTTTGCAAGAGGTGGATAGAGAACAAGCTAAAAACAAACGGGATTTTTTGTACAATCAGGGGCCATAATCCAGAAAATTATGGTCTGAAATGCGCAAATATCAAACGAGACTGAGATCTTTGGGATATAAAGATATATTTTAAGTTTCATCAGAATCGGATAAAAATTGTCACCTCTAGAGGGTCGACAACCTTCGTAATGCATAGTTTTACACAATTTGCATACAAAGAGCGGCCATTTTGTTGAGCAGTTTCCCTCGATTTTTCCGAAATTCTAATTCAACCTTCATTATGGTGGAATGGTGAAAAATTTAAACGGTTTTTAAAATCGGAAAAAAATGTGACCTCTGCAAGCTAAAAATGCCATGTTTCGAACAATCAGGGGCCATAATCCAGGAAGTTAAGTTCGGGTATCCGCGATTATCAAAAGGATCCAAGATCTTAGTGTGTAATGGTGATATATTCACACCTTTTTTTTTAAATCAGATAAAAAATTATGACCTCTATAGGGTCCACAAGCTAAAAACGCGATTTTTCGTACAATCAGGAGCCATATTTCAGGAAGTTACGGTCCGATATGCGCGAATACCGAAAGGAAGCGAGATCTTTGGGTTATAAACTGACATTTCAAGTTTCAACAAAATCGGATAAAAACTGTGACCTCTATAGGGTCCACAAGCTAAAAACGTGATTTTTCGTACAAACAGGGGCCATAATCCATCAAGTTTCGATCCGATACACGCCAATATCGAAAGCAGCCGAGATCTTTTGGAGATAAGCCTATATTTCAAGTTTCGTCAAAATCGGATAAGAATTGTGACCTGTAGAGTGTCCACAAACAAATTGTGGACGTCCCGACGGACAGGGGCGACGACAACATACGTTCACATGAAAATGTTGGCGTATAAAAACCTTATATGTTTTTTGTGGGAAAAAAACACCCTGGAAGAATAACCCGTTACAGGTTTAAAGAAAAATTTTCAGAAGAATAACCCCAAATTCCACTATATATATATATCCAAAGCCGCCCCGACTTTCAAACCGCAAGTTATTCCCGGCATAGAATATGCCCCAAAGATCAAAGAGATTTACCGTTATAGGTTTATAAATATGTTGAAAATGACATTGAGAATTGATTATGGTCTGGATATGTTAATTAATGTCTAATTAATAACTTAGATAACATTTAAGGCCTAAAGAAAGGCCTGCAATATACAGATTTAGTTCTTGCATAATGTATGTTTAATTTATTTAATAATACATGGCCAGTTCGTAATAGAACCATATAATTTCTATCTATTTTGGTTGAAATATATTTCTTGTGCGAGAGCTGGCTTAGATGTACAAACCAAACAAGAATTTCTGTTCCAGGTTGAATATCTTTAAATGCACGGTAATAAATCTGTCCTTTATACTGATAAGCTGTTACATTCTGTTCTTGTTCTGTTCTAGCACAATTTACATATCTCATCCAGTTTGAAGTTGCTGGATTCTGAGCATCTATAAAATGCTCATGTTTTCCTTCTTGAAATATCTGAATTTTAAGAAAAAATAACACAACAGATTAGCTTATTTGAAAATGTGTGTATATAGATTATAATAATTTCACGGTTGATAACCCAGAAAAGAGAGAGAAATGGGGTTTAACGTCCACTCGACACAAACTATGTCATTTCGGGACTGACATATAGTTCAATTTTATTTCCATAATTCGCTTGCACGTAGGGGTATTTAGCAGTGGGAGGAAAATGGGGGGCCCCGGAGAAAACCCACGAGGTTGGACAGGCGACCCTACTCTTTGTCAGGTATAACCGGGGATTCGAAACCACGCCAGTTGACTCAATGACAGGCCTTATGATACAGCGCGCACGTGCTAACCATTCGGCCATCCAGCCCCCCGATCGATAACCCAGAAAACCTAGTCATTAAAGTTCAACTTTCAAATTTTAAAGTTATTTTTTTAAAATGTATTTTAATAAAGCCTTAAATAGATGGTATCCATAAACAGTCCTACTTTGTTAAAGGATAATCCTATTAATCCTATAATTCACTATTGCCAGCTGAGAAATTGGCAAAAATATCATTTTCAACTTTAAATTCCAACGTTTGGAGTTGGCTAATGCATGGAGGGCAATGGGAAAACAAGGGAGGTAATTGTGTTATTATTTCCTGTGTCAATGATTTTTGAGTGTGGGAAATAATGCCCATGGTCGTATAATAGTGAGTTGATGACCTATTGAGCAAAAGACATAGAAATAATTATGTTTTGACTTTCTTAGAAAATATAAAATTCTCGCTTTAAATTGATTGGCTTTTAATTTGTGATACATTTCTTTGTCTGATTACCTGGCCCGAGTCACAAAGCATTCTCAGACTTGGTCAAGAATTTACTCAAAATTGTTCGCCTTATTTTAACCAAACTATAGCCCTTTATAAAAATTTGGTTGTTTTAATGTAGCAAATACATCAGTAAAAGATTATGTACAAAGTTTTGTGTTTCTGAATCAAAGATATTTCTTATATAAACAGTGATTGAAAGTTGAGTAAAGTCTTAGCTGAAGACTGAGCATGCTTCAGGGCTTGTTCAATGCGAGGTAGGCGAATTTTTCTCAGATATCTTTTAAGCCTGAAATCTTTCTCATACATGGTAACAACACTATAGGACTCTTTAGAAATAAACAATTCAAAGTGTTGGGGATAATTTTTTGAAAGTCACAATATTTGCTTTTGCTGGTATAAGCAGAAAGCTGACCATGAGCGTAAATAGGTAATATCAACGCTTATATTTGGCTGCGGATTGGCCTTTATTTCAGAACATCGTAAATTATGAACCGGCTCATCAAAGTCACGTTGTATTTATTAATAATTTGCACACATCGTCAACTTTATTTATATTTCTTTAACGACCTAATATATTATCAACTGGCAGATAACTCTCAGCGTTCTACATAATAATAATTTCAATAAATAATCCAATTTTCAAAAAATTGCTTCATAAGAACTAAGAATAACAGTTTCATTTTGCCTACCTGCCAACAGTAACCAGAACTCTGAGCTTTCTC